AGTTAAATTACTCCTCTCGTGACACATGCACACAAACAGAAGACCTAGGAATATTAATAGGAAGCAGAATTAGGAAGGACCTTGGGAGACCATCTAAACCAGGCCTCCTAGCCCAATGACTGTGATAGCGGTGACTTGTATGTTGGACTAAAACAGGTAACAACAATATCAATCAATGTTCTACATCAAACTCGGCTACTAAGAAGCTGGGAAACAGCAAATCTAGACCACCTTCTGCTGCAAAGGAGCATTCACAACAGCCATGCCTGCTCTTAGCAGGGCCTCATCAGTAGGTATCCCATAACCTTTTCTGACAGGCTAACAAAATGGCTCTCCTGAGGAGAGCCATCAACAACCTTTCCCAATCACTTCCACTTTTTATTTCACCCAAAGATGACTTTCAGACCAATATTTGCTTCCAGGCAAAGTGGCAGGGATGCAATGAAATCCTCATGCTTGTTTACAGTTTCATTTATGAACCTCCAAATTTGTTATTATATTGAGTTATTTTGCTTACGAAAGGTAGAGCAGCAATACAATCTAAGTAACACTCTGAAGACTAACGTTAGCACACGTTACAGGAATGGGCAGACCCAGAGAGATCAGCAACTTTCTGCAGTGCGTGAGAGTACTACTCATGGACGTTTTGTAAGAAAGAACAATAGTTCCCTAAACTGTCTAGCAAAGCACCTCTCACCACTCCACCAGAGAGAAGTTGCTTTCTGTTTGGAAGTACAAAGATTTATTCAAATCAGTTCTTATTTTTTAATATTTTAACTCAGAAACCAAAGGAAATAACAGTGCAGTAGAATTAAACCCCCAAATTCTATTTTAATTCATAAGAATTCCGTGCCACAACTCCTAATATTGAATTCATAGAAACTCTTCAAAATACAAACTCTCCTTTAGAAACGTGAGTTCTTCTGCATTGCAATACTCACTCACAGAGAAAAGAAACACAGGAAATCCAAGGTTTCAAGTAAGTTTCTAACACTGCTGCTTAACACAAAGCATTAAAAAAAAAACCCACAAGCAAGCAAACAAATAAACCCACCAAAACAAAACCTTCCAGTAATGTATATTCAGAAAGATCTATAATTTTGTATGGAAGGTCACTTTTACCAGGTACTACACTTCAAACAGAGGTGCGTAATTTTTAAGGTAAATGAATTACTAAATTGAATACACCAAAACCACCCCAAAGATTTTAACAGCGCACAATGTAGTGGATATTTATACATTATAAAAGGATGAGGTCTTGGAAATTGAAAGAGTACCTGCTTCAACAGATTTACCTTTAGTGTATGTTCCACATCAGCTTAAAAACAGCCTGGTGACTTAACTTATACATTTCAGTTATAATTATCTTCCACAATATTATAAACTGATGTAAAATATAACACATACAGAGGCTTAATATAGTGTTAATATTCAGATTTTTTATTTAATGACATTGGAGCCTATCACTTTCCAGAAAAACATCTTCATATTGACTATAAGAGCAGACAGAATGATGGTTTTGTCATTAAGCATCAAACATTTGGCAGTGCATCAATAATTCTTTTTAATTTGCTTTACCCTCAGAAGCTGGTGTGAGCTGTTGGGCCCTGCAGTGTGCTTCAATAATAGTGCATTAAATGGAAAGTATCTATGCCTGGCTGACCATTCTGAAAGCTGTTTTTGAGCGGCCTAAAATCAGCTATTTGGATTCCCTACAGAGTCTTGGCTTCAAAAAGAAACAGATCATTTGTAATGCAAATAATCCACCATCTCTAGAACATCATCCTAATAGAAAACTACTAGTGGTATGAAATCTGCAGGCATAACAAACCCCCAAAATATTGGCATAAACCTTCTAGTGTTGCTAAAATATGTAAACACATACAAAAATATAAAGGTAAATCAGGGAAAAAAGACAATAACAATCTTGACTCCAACACTCAGTACAACAGCCCCAGGCTGGATAATACAGTAATATCCACCCTCTTACTAAAAAGCTGCTATTACATACATCAAAATCAAACTTAAAATACTTAAAACTTCAGGACATACCAAATAACCGTGTGCCAGGAAACTGATTGCCGATTGCCTACAACCCAGCAAATAAACACTAGAAATCAGAATGACATTGACATACACAGCCTTGCTATTTTAATTCAAAAAGGCAATGCAAATTGGGGAAAAAGACTTGGTCTGTCATTATAGGATTTTATTTTTAATTCTCACATTTTACAGCTTCTGCAGCAGAAGTCATGCTCGTGTACTAAAATTAAGGACACAAAGAGTAAATACAGGAACTCATGGTATTCCAGTAATAAAAAGAATGACCAAAACTCTTGGCTGCCTTAGACTACTTAGCCCACTACACCTGCTTCCATGGGAAGGAAGACAATCTCTGCTGTAGCATCTCCTCCGCAATCCAGGCCTTAGCTCTCCGTAACAAGCTCTCACAAGCTCAATTCAATCAGCATATAAGAAGATCAAGCATCAAACTTCTCAAGTGTTTCAAGTACTTGCAGGGGGGAGCTTTCTTAGAGAATGAAAGTCATAGATTATATACGAAAGTATATGCAACAGTGATTTCAAGTATGTAGAGTGACTGGTTTAATAAGCCGATACAAAAACAATTGAAGTGTTTGCTACTACTGTGTTTACTTGCTACAACTGCAGTGGTAAAATATCAAGGGTAGTTTATTTGTGTAGATCCTATAGTAGATCTCAGAACAAAGACAGACAAAATGCTCAATAAGAAAGCTTCAGCAAAGACCGCCTATCAGGCTTTGCCTTCAATATACTCCTCCAAAGCATTTCATTGCCTTCCTTGAAAATTGACTTTTAGGGATGGCAAATTTGAATACTTAATGCTGTGCATTTGGTTAAGGTCTCCCAAGCACACACTGTATAGACAGATGATTGGAAGCAGAAGAGAACACCAAGTATGAAAAAGAAAGAAGCTGAAGATGTAGTTAAGTATTTTAGATCTGGGAAGGTATTCCAGGTCCAAAAAAACCCACCTCCAAACAAACAAACAAGAAAACCCCACCAAAAACCCCCACCAAAACAAAAAAAACCACACACGAACCCCCCAAAAATCTGTGATTCTGGAAAAGGCTGTTCAGGAAGGAGGCTGGAAAACGTTCGCTTAACATAGACAACATTATAATGAGAAAGAAAAAATACTATTGGACTTATAAGTCAAGGAGACTAAAGCATATCTTGTGAAGCACATTAAGGACAGCCATGCCTCTCCTTCCTGCTGCTGCTCTGGAAATGCTACAGGCAGTTACACAAGTGCACTGTTCTACACTGTATTCAAGACACTACAAGAGATCTTCTCAGAGGAGATTCTACAACCGTGTGTCTAATGTAACTGCTCTTCAAGGACACGTACGTTCAAACTTTTGTTCGCCAACACGTCCCTACCACTGAAACATAGGAAGGCAGCTGAATGCTTCAAAGCTGCTCGCATAGCCTGGGCAAATATTGTCATGTCTCTTTTCCAGCTGAGGCTATAAAGGGAGTCCAATACCTGAGCGATCCAAAGATTTCATCCCAGAGGCATTTAAATTTCCTGTGGTCATGAATTGGTCTTACTGATCTTTACGAAGGGACAAAACAATCTCCTTGGCCACTCCTCACAGTTTGAAGAATCAGCTTATCTTATATTTCAAAAACTGAGTTGACACGGTTTGCTCCCTTAAAAGTTGTTTTTTTCTTTTATGCTTGAGATCTCTTTCAAGATCACATGACAGGTGCTCTTATTGCTGGGCAACTACATGCATGCATACAAAACAGATCACAAAATGGTGCCATCGAAAGATGCTCGAGTGGACTTACTGACCTTTAAATCTGCAAGTAAGAACCAAGACACTTCAAGCCAAGAATTCTCATTACTGGGAAAAATCCTCTCTAACACCAAAAAGTTAGATTGTCAAAATGGGAAAGAAAAAGGTAAATGAAATCAGTTACTTTTCAGAGATATGCAATTGACTTTTTTTCTGTCTTATAAGGTTCTCTCTTTAGGTTTTTTTAACAGAGCACTAAACCAAAACTATTAGGTCAATGGTAAGTCCCAGGGATATGCTACAGGTACAAACTAGTAACTCTGTACAGCGATTCCTCAAATTTCCAACTGTGATTCTTCTTACAAATTAACACTTTTGTAAAGCCCAAATATTATAATCAGTATTGGTTAGAACTGAATTTCTGCTGGGTTTAAGACACTTGCAACTGGCACTACTCTTCAGGAATCGGAAACTATACCTGCAAGTGCTATTCTTTCAGAAGCATAAAACAGCAAAGCTGGATCTTGTATTATAAAACGCACCGTAATAAAAATCTCAGTACTATCCATTTGTCTTTGAATGCGTAGCAGATGTTCCTTACATTTTACTTATTATGGGATTAAAAAGCAATTTTGGGGATTAATACCAGCATAAAATGAGGAAGTTTTGGCATATCATTTCCATGTATTTCTGGGTGGGGGGAAGTACCTAAATAGGCAACCATTTGTTGGCATGTATACAAGGAGCAAAGCAGAAAAGCTCTGATCCACTCCTGGCTCTGCAAAAGTCAACTTGCAGTCCACCACATGTCCTAGTTGGAGGGAAGACCTGAGCAAAACATCATCTTGATGCTGACAAAGAAGGGATACCCCTCTCTTTTCTTGGCTGTGAAGACTTGCACCATTTGTAGCTCTCATGCTTCTCTGACCCCACAACGAGAGAATTCAATTTATAATCCCAGCTCTTTTTCCCCCCATTAAATGAGACAGGCTGGACGAATATAAGTGCATGTTTATGGATGCAATGAGGAAGCAACACTGGAGATTGCCCTGACAAATTTGGAAGGACAGGTTCACTGATATATAGAAACAACTCTGGGCTTAATGATGAGGCAGGTCCAACTACACTTTAAATTACTGTATAGTATATTCTTCAATACAATGAGTAATTTACTGCCAGGATAGCATAGAAAAACCTAAATTGGGATTTACTTACAATGCTGATCACAGTCTACTCTAGCAAACACCACTTGATTTTTATCTGGATATTCTTCCTTAATTACGTTAGAAGCTTCCTCAAAAATAGGATGCAGCATTTGGCTGAAGCGGCACCTGTGGATAGAACATAAAATCACAACTTCAAAATATTAATTTGAAATATTTTAATTGATGACTCAAAGAACATTTCAATCTTTGAAGGAAAAAGAAAGAAAATCTATTGGAAAAGAACATCTACTTGTAATCATCCCAGTAACTAACTGGATAAAAACAGGTTCAAAAGTAAGTTAAATAGTTCAGGTAGAAAAAAAAAAAGTTTAAAAGACTATACAGTTCAAGATGTGTCCCCCCTGCTTTATCTGCTTAAGAAACATCATTAATCAATTATAAGCCTTTAGGAAATATATGCTATTCAGAAAGTTTGCTCTTCATTTTTTCTACCTGAATTATCCCTGGGGAAATAATTTTAAAAATATAGTAAAAGAAGTTACAAGGATTGTTGAGATTCAATTATTCAGCAACAATCACCTTCAAGAAATATCACAAAGATAACTTTATAAGGGTCAATAATATCAGTTACAATATTGCTTGTTATATTATTGCCCAAGTTTGGTAGAATTTGAACAGATCACTATTACAGCACTATGAACAAAGAGAATCCCAGGGGTCCCTTCTTCCAGTCATGTCAGATTTTGAAAAAAATCGCCTCTTTCTGCCCATGGAAAAGGCTATAGGATTGTAAAGATACTTTGCTGGCTTTGGGGAGTTTAGGGTAACATTAGTGCACAAGCCCATTATTAATATGTCAACAAAATTATTTTCTATTCTGTTCTTCAAAACACATGGCAGAATTTTAAACTGAAGACATATAATGGCACTGTAGAAGTTATCGGAATGAGATCTCATGGAACACACTTGCAGTAAAACAGCCTGCACTGAAGCCCTGCTTAAACTTAACAGTATCTAGCCTGGAGACGCTGTTACATCTACAACAGCAAATATTCAAGTGAAGAGGCAAGTTTTGCTCTCAAAATACAAACCAGGCTTAAGGCCATTTTCTGAAAGAAACTTGACTCTGGGCAGCACACGTATGCCCGACATTTATGTAGCATGTGTATATTACATATGGCTTCCTTGCCCCTCGTTCTTCTCCACCCTTGCAGCAGAGTATCCACAGCAGTGAAAGTGATCTACTCTCATTCAAAGGCCACGTTACATCATAGGCAGTATGCTATGTTGAAGGGTTATTACTGAACGCCTACATGTAATGATCATAATAAAGGCTGTTATGTTTTAAAATTACGGCCTACTAGAATGTGAATCAACTGGCAACCATATGCAAATTTTTAAATTCAAACCTATTCTATAGTGGATTTGGTAACAGCTGGGATTTGCAGAAAGAGCTGTGCTTAGGACCTTATTAGGTCCTAAAACAGGACACTTGTTACCTTGCTAGATTAAGTTTTAAAATATTGGTATCTTCCCTCTATCACAGAAGTATCAGAATGTGGATTTTTAGCCTCCTGCAGTTTGCCTTTTGCAAAATCCAAAAGTGACTTTCTCAGTGGCAAGGCTGACCCCAAACTTCAGTGAATTAAATTTACTCTCCATAGTTTTGCTTTCCTTGGTTATCTTTAATAAAACCTTTTGAAGCAGTCTATGATCGACCAGGTGTCTGCAGATCACAAACTGAAAATAAACATCTTAATTTTCATTTATTTACTTATTTTATAAGGCAGCCTTTATAGCATAATTTTATACAGAACAGGTAAGAGATTAGACCTAGTTTCTTACTTAATGAGTGAGTTGTACTATCATTATAAAGAAAGACATTTCAAACAAATACCTTGGTAAGTGAATGCAATCTCTCTAAAGAAAAATTTTGTTGGTTTAAATGCACCTAGTATCAATTTAGTCTGTGGTAGCTTACGAACGGATGCAAATTAATTGAAGATAAAAACTGTCTATAAAGTGACAGGTATATACAAAGGTTATTAAACTGATTTAGATTAATATATCTTTCTGCAAAGTTTAAACGAAGGCATTCGTCTCTTTACTGAGAACTTGATTCTATGTGAAAAGACTGGGTATGAATTTTTCAAAATCACTTTTAAAAAGCAATTAAAATTAGCCTGCTACTAGTTGAATGAATTATCATTAAGGCAAAGTGTAAATTTTTCACGTAAAACACTGTGTGCTTGCTATTTCTAGGCCATACAAACCTACAGACTTCGACATATAATGGGATGTGAACGAGGTGAAAGGAATCCGAAGTCTAATCACCTACACAACCTTCGATCCTGAAGGCCAATGTTTTACGCTCACAAAGCAGAACAGCAGGGAGAGGAATATTTGAAGCGTAGTGCTTCAGTTTACATACTGCTTTACATTATAAAGCTATTTACAGTCAAGATTACATTAATCAAGGAAGACAGAAAATTAATTATTTTTCTAATCTAATTTTCTATATTAATTTGCATGTAAAGTTTTATTTTCTCGGAATACTTTTCTGTTTTCTTCCTTGCTAAAGACTCTTTTAAAAATATTAATGGTGGAGCAGAACAGAACATTTAAAATTACCTCTTACACAATAAAAAAATAAAGTATGGTACTTGAATTAATTCTAACGATGATTTTGTATACAAGTTTTTTTTAAAAAAGAAAACAGAATTTCAAGTAAACAGGTCCCTCTAAATAAGTCTTCCACAATGTCTAACCAATCTGGCCCCAAATTCTTTCCATTTCCAGTTGCTCAGATTTCATCCCTCAATTATAGTTTCTCTAGTTCTCCACTTGGAAGGTCTTCCAGATTAGAGGATTTGATGTTTAGTGTAATTTCAAGCCTTTTTCTTTCTAGCACACACACGGGACCAAGATAGAAAAAAATGGAAAAATGGAATATTTTGGACTGTCGTATGTTAAGGAGCTAAGTCTTGCTAAGAGGAAAAAAGGGAGAAAACGAATTTAAAAAAAAAATAATCAATTACATAGCACGTTATTCCATACTACTATAGAAGCATTTTTCCTCTGATAGGAGCCCTAAATGAAACAAAAGATGGCAGAACAGCAGAAGGGGAAGTAATCAGGACATTAAAAAAATCTGGAAAGAATAGTTTGAAAGCAACACACCACAGTATTTTCAACTAGAAAACTATAGCCAAACATGATAGTTTTCAAAAGACAAGTTTAAACACAAAAAAAAGACTTGTGTAACTTACCAATCAGCATAAAAATTAACTAAAGCAACATCTGCATTGTCTGAGAGGAAAAAAAAAAAAGAAAAAACAATGTCACATTGTGAGGTAAACTTCTTAGTGCTTTTATCTGAGATTATAAATATACATACAAAAACTATAAAAGCAAATATTTCTAGATTGTTCAGCATAAAGCTTAGTCTGATTGCTAGAATAATACTAGGATAAATCTTATCTGAAATATAATCTATATCCAATGGGAATGTGATGAAAGAGGCCTTCACTCAAGTATTTTACTGACTTAATTGATATAATAGACATTAAAAGTGCCAATACTTAAGGTATTAAGACACAAAAGAAGTCAATAAGTGACATATGAGACAGAAAGTAATTCCAGATTTAAAATTAAGGCACTCAAAGCTAGAAGCTGTACTCTAGTATATCTTTTAAGCATTATCTAGTTTATTCTTAAGTATTGAAAAACAGTTAAAAGCTGAAATGTCAACTATGTAGGTTAGAAGAATGACCAACATGCAGCCTGCCTGAGCAGCTTGCTCTGGTTGATCCTTACCTACCTTATTTGCCAAGAAGCTGGACTCTAAGGCAAAAGGTAGCAGAAAATCTTCAGTCCCCCAAAAAGCAAAATGCTAAGGGGCACTCAAAAAGAAAGGCAATACTATAGGGATATATACGATGAGGTAGTGAAATAATGCTCCTGTACACTATTTTTCACATACCAAAAAAAAAAAAAAAAAATTGAAAATATATCAAAACTAGAAGGACAAATCTCCTGCCCAAAAATCAATTGTGGTCTTTACACAATATAACAACCATGCTGTAAATTGATTTTTATTAGTAGCAGTGGCCTAGGCATTGAAAAAAAACCCCAAACTTGAAATAAATACCGGAACTATACAGTATCAGCCACAGCTTTATAAAGCAGAAATGTTGCTAGATGAATTTGCACTACTGACAAAGTTACAAAGCAGTTACAAGTGAAGATTAAGATGTTGGAAGCCTGAAAAAGACAATGTGCTGTAAAGACGACTCTTGAGAAGGCTGGGAAAAACTATGGTTTTGATTAAAATTATGGCTTTGAGATTTTCATTATCAGCAAGGAATGCAAGGGGTGAACAGGAAATTAACAAGCACAGAGAAATTCAGGGTTACCTCCAAGGCATAAAGTATTTGTTGAAAGTAATAGGATAAATTTTTTTAAAGGACTTACACTTGGCATATATTCCCTTTTATGAATAACATTTTACAAAAAGATTCTATATTTTTCACTGTATAAAAGGTATTTACAAACAGATCTTATATCACCTAATGATACATTTAGTACACAAAGCAATCCTGCAATAGTACGCAGATTCTAGTATGGAACTAAATAAAAGAACATAAAGATTTTTTTTTTCTGAATATATTTGAAACAATGTAATAACTTTTTTCCTGCAAAGACAACCAAATACAGGCAAATTGCATACTTTTCAGACAAAAAGATTTCAGACAAGCAACACTGATCTGTTTAATTCATGAGTCTCCTTTCTATGAACCACCAGAATCCGGACAATGCTTAACCTGAGGAAATGGATGGCTGAACAAGCAAGATACTTAAGGCCCAGCACTATGGGTTTCCCTTGCTGCTACTTTGGAGGGAACTTTTAAAATGCTCTCTTGACAAGTTTTGGTAACGTAATCGAGCATTCCCATCTGCAAACAAGCAGGTATTTTTCTTAGACACTTCAAATCCTCATTTACACTACAATGAAGTAATTTGTTAGCCGATACATTCGTTCAGACAGCTAATTTTGATCATAGCTGTTTAATACTTCTATGCCGATTGCAATTCATATTTTCAAAGCTAAGGTATGCACATTCATTTAATAACACTGCAAGATTCACACAGATATACTGTCATACTGCAGACATACAAAGAAAAAGAAATATTCAAAGTACTCACTTAAAATGTCATCTATATTTCCACTATCTAGACTTGTTATTTCACTTCTTGCTGGATTAAAAAGCCAAGACACCTAAGAAAAGAAAGCAAACCAGTAAGGTACATAAAGTTTCAGCAATAAAGTAGTAACATATCTATGATTTTAAGTGTTGCAGTTCAAAAGCTGGAGAAGAGTAAAATAATTGTAATTCAGTCAACACATTTCAGATGACAGCAGTACTACAAATATACAAATAAACATGACTTTCAGATATAACATACTTTCACAGTTAAAGCAAAATTGGCTATGTCTTCACACGATTCTCTATTACGTTGGAAGAAATGTTACAGGTAAGTTTTGTACCTTTAAGAATAACTTCTATTCATAAATTCACTCTGAAGAAAGAACTGAAACCCCCATTTTACCCACCTAACAATCTCACACAGCCCAGAAGTGTGCGGGCACAGTGGTTTCACCCAGAGACAAGTAATTCCTTCTGTCACTTACAGGGCTTGTCTGGCAAAAAAGTTTCTCATTAAATAAAGCCTGCAATTGCCTCCATTTTTACTGCCGTTTTAGAAAACCATTTCAGGATAGCTAACTCAACTAGCTACAGTCTTTTATCTCCTGCATTTTTTCCTTGACGCTGCTTCAGTCCTAGCATGTGATCGGCATATCAGACTACAAAAATGGAGACACCATGTCAGCTAGATCATTAAATTACTGCACAACACATGTATTGCTCTTAATGCAACTACCACAGCAACATGCAGTTTTATGGAAGAGCACTCTCATTCACCGAAACAAGCCCAGTTCTCTTATCTCAAAATGCAGCGGGGAAAAGGGGGAAGAGTCACTGATCTATTTCAGGTGAGAGAAATAACAGTGAGTTACAACTTATTTTTGCTTCGAGAGAGATAAGTGTGCAAGTTTTTGAGACGGACAATACAGACTCTGGTCTGGGATGCGAATGTTTCCACCCCGAGCAACCTGGTCAGAATGTCAGCACTTCTCTAAGCAGGGCCAGGGCTCAGCCCAGATGCTCCTCGGAGATTCCATCCAGCCTCATTTTCCATGATTCTATGGTTCCATTCATGGCTTCCATGATTCAGCTGAGAGAGACAGTAGGAAAGGAAAAGGAAGCTTTTCGGTAGAGAACTGACAGGAATGCACAGGTCAAGGAACCAGGAAGAGACCAGAGATTCCCAATGATACCTGAAGAATTAGTCCTCACACTGAAATGCAGTGGCATATGACACAGACACTATTATGTTCCCGGAGCCTTAGTTTACTCCTTGTAGCTGCAAAGAAAATATGCCCACAGCTAGAGAGGCAAAGCTGACGGCTGCTTTTACCAAAGACACCAAGGAAAAATTCAGCTGGAAGCATAAAGAGAATCCAAATAATGCCACATGGAGCAGCTCGATACAAGTGATATAAGGATGTCTCTATTTATGGAAGAGCCTGAGATCTACCCCGACCTATACCAGAACTGTGACTACAAGCAGCAAGCCTCCAGGGCACACTGATCTTTGACACTGGTTACAATTTATCAAAAGCCTAATTCAATGTCAAACATCAAGTTACCTAACATATCTTGCAAGTGTGCACCACATATTGGCCTCTAAAAAAACATCAGCCATACTGGATGCCTGCTTTCATTAGGATTAGCTTCAAAAATTGTGGGAGACTTCTGTAGTGAGACAGTGTCGTAGCTCACAAACTATCACTGTAAATGGCATGTAGGCGAGACTTGCAGCAATCATTTTCAATTCCTTCTAATTTAGGGATCACTGAACACTTTTCAGCGAAGATACCAATCCTTTAATGTTTTCCATGTGGAGGCCACTGAGTAGCATATACACTCTCTGCTACACTACAGGCTGAAAACACAGCAGCCATTGTAATAAAAAATATGTACCAGTCCTTCTCACTTGGTAATTGGACAAAATACTTACCTTACATGCAAGTCTACGATCTATGGTGGAGTTTGAGCAGCCTTCCTGGGGCACTTAAAACTGGCCAACACAAATGTCTGAATTCTGCCTTTAAGATGACTGTATAGAAACCAAACTAACGGTTGAGCTGTAAGGTCCATACTTGAAACTAACAGCAAAATGACATGGTCTGCCAAAAAATATCTGATTAAGCAAGCTATGCAACACACGAGTTGTGGCAGGCCAATATTGGGGAAATGCCTTTGAAGATGCTGGTGTTGCTGACTGCTGAGCAGCAAGAAGGGATGACCTCGCCTTCGGTCTTTGCAGACACAAGCTACATACATGGACCCCGGGCTACATCAGTCAGACTACCCCCAGATGAGTGACATCTGATGGCAACCATCAGTGCAGATATCTCCCCACCACCCCCTGGGTGTGCACGGGATGACAGCTTCCGTGGTGTTGCTACGGGGAGGTGCTGGGAGCAGCAGTTACATTTGTAGTAATGGGTCAGGTAAGCATGTGAATGAGCTGGCAGCGTTTTGTTTGTACACACAGGCTGTTTCCTCGCAAGTGTTAGGTTAGAGGTAACTTGTGTGCAACTGAAGCAGTAGCTGTGATTAACAATAATAGTTGGAATACTGCTCTAGGCAATAAAGGACAGTATAACTCAACACTCATTCAGTTGGCTGTCATCTGATCCTACCGCAGGCGACTTTGCAAACTCATCTAAGTTCCAAGGCTTCAGCTGCCCTGCAAGGTCTCAAGAACTTCTGATTGTACTCTCGAAGACCACAGAATTACTTATCCTGCTTATTATAACCTTGGACAATGCTTGTTTTATGCAGAAAATCCACACGAGCCTCAAGAAAGCAGGAACTTTCGAGCTGCTGTGCACAGCTCTGCATCAGCATTCATACTGGGAAAGAATTTCCACAGTAGATCCTGGTGAAACTACTTGCACAGGAGCTCAGCAGTTTGTATTGTCTAAACGTAGCAAACAGGTAAGAGAGCAATTTCTAAAACACACATGGCTTTTTCTAATACAATTTTACAGCAGCAACACAAACCTTATCTAATAGGATAAGTTACATAGATAAGCATATTATTCGCAATCGGGTAACAGGACATGTTATTCAGCAGATATCTTAACTAGATCAGGAACTGTAGTTTCATTTGTAGATTGCTACAATACACCTTAACTTGCAATGCAAATATTTAACTGCAAAATCAAAGCACAGGGCTTGGTAACCAATAAAATTATCTACTAGATTGTGCTATGTGCAGTAAAAGCAAATTAAAACTAATACTTCTTTATAGCATGAATAAAATTTTTGACTGCTTTCTTAAGTCTTGTTGTGGAAAAATGTGGTGCAAGCTGCATGTACTGAAATAAAGACCCCAAACATCTTCATATATTGAAGGTGAAAATGAAATTAAGCTGTATATCCTGTTGCCCCTTTACATTAAACAGTAGTGGAAAAATACTGAGACTAAGAAAGTCTTTACACACGAGTTGCACAAAACCTGAGATAACAGAAATACTTTTTCGACTAGAAGTAAGAAAAATTCTATTTTGTCAAAATATATTCATAATCATGTTCTTAAACATTTTGTACTGAATGAATAATTGTGGGTGCCAAAACCTTCACAGTAAGTAGAAAGACTCGGAGAATAAAAAAAAGCATTCCTTGAAGAAATGTCAATAAATATGCAAGACTCACTTCAGCTGAAGGTTTCATAAAGGTATAATGCCTGTAAGGAAGAAAACATATCCTTTTGACCTAGTAATCTTCCTGTCCCATGAGATGCAAGAGGGTTTATGATATCACTAGTATTAATATTTAACATGAAGGAATACAAATTCTTATTTAAATTGCTAACAAGCTACACTATTTTCAGAATATTTTCTGACCTTTGATGAGGCCTGTGCTTGATACCCATGGGCGGAAAACAAGACATTTTTGAGGAAATCATTTTTGAATGTCAGCTACACGCTTTATAAAACAGGTACTGAACATATGTTTTGAAAAGCATACTGACTAAAAAAAAGGCTTCGGAATTTTCTACTTTTACTTGTAAACTTTGCATTCCACTGGCCTACATCAGAAGGACAGGCAGATGACTGTTCACATTTGTAACTGGGGACAAAAATAAATTTTCCAACTGGCCTCACAAGGTAGCTACAAACTCACTGAAGAAAGCACCTTTCAAAAATAATTCAAAAAGAAAATTGGCTATGTAAGTACAGCTGAAAACAACTCAGGTCACTGCCTTGATATTTGATAAAATTAGCTATATTTTTGTATTTGTATTTTTTAAATGCTTAAACTACTAAAATCTGAAGGTAAAACTAAGTAGTTATGAAAGAAAAAGACTTCAAAAAATAAAGATATAGTAGAATATTAAAATACTAAGAACTTGAATGTGAGACTACACAAGTTAGATAAACATGTTTATAATTTAATCCCAATTGTTTAACACTATAGAAAAATGACAAAACAAACTATAGACTAAAACCAATGCAGAAAGCTTTATACACTAACAGAATGCATTTCTGAGGGGAAAAAGCCAGAAATTGAACACTGCATTTACAAAGATAAAATTTAGCTCATATAAGGGGAGACAAGAGGAGGAGATGGCACATGTGTTTTTAATCTTCGGGTCCTCAGAAACTGTCAAATAAAGTAAGCATATATCAGCTCAGGTTCCTGGAAATTTCTGAAGATAACAGTGCTCAGGTTTTTACTGGCAAGTTTAATTAGAACAGAAATCCTAGTATTTATGATCTGATTTTGATCCTCACTTGAAGTTAGCAAATGACTTAGCCACCTCTGCCAGAAGCCAGTACTAGTTGCTTCTGAGGAGTTAACTACAAATTAGCTGACATTTATTATGATTTTTTTCTAATGAAAGACCTCAAAGCACTGCCTGAAAGACAACATTATCCTCCTCTGACATGCAGCACAAGGCTGCGGAAGCAGCCTTACACAAAATGAAATGCCTGGGCAAAACCCGTTCCATTCACCCCCAACCGGCAGACCTCTGCCAGGCTCCATATCCCTTTCCAAAGAGCAAATGAAAGTGCGCCCTGTTTCAACTCATCTTCTGCTGAGAGTGTTGCTGTTCAATTGCCACTCCACACATCCAATTCATGAAACCCATTGACTATTCAGGAGATTTGGGTCAATCTTTTATCAGCATTTTACTCTTACCAGTTAGTGCTGTTAGTTCTTGAATTGATAACTGAACAGAAGAGACAGGCCTATAGGTTTAGTAGTATTTATTTTCCAAGTTTATCACCCTTTACATACCACTCCTGCAGAACAGTTTAACAGTTTACCCGTGCACTTTCTTAAAACTACAAGAAAATAAAAAAAAAACACAGGCCTGTTGAATTTTCGTTCTTCACATCTGTATTTTTTAATTCACATAATGAAACAGAGGTCCTCATTTCCAAAGCAAACTATCTGAAGAATACAGAAAATCTATTCTTGGAGCTTTATGATTTCTAATTAGTAGTACACCTGCAAGGCAGTCAACAAGAACAGCCTTCATTTTCACTTGCTAAACTTTCCATTTACCTTTTCCTCCTGCTGGGAAATCCTGAAGGCACACGACTAAACCATCTTTCTCCTCTATCACAAAAATCATTTTATGTTTGGCAACCAGCTCTAGCCTGCATCTAATCCAGACTGACATGTCGAAGTTCCTACCTGAAGCCCTAGCCCCACAGGACTCTGCGGCTGGCTTTCAGTCCCCAAGTACCTTTTTCTTTATGCATGCCGCTAATCTGCTGCTGCTCTGAGGTCTGCATTAAACTCCTGGACAACAGGAAGCAGATGGGTTTACAGCCTGCTGTAGGATGATACAAATTGAAAGCAATCCCGGGAGACAGCAACGCCGAAGCTGACAGACACTGTAAGAGCCCCTGAAGTTTGGCTTCGGAACCATCAATCAGGAGCATCTCGCTGGCGGCGTTCCCAGAAGCCCTATAATGAACCACAAAGTTCAGAGCAGAGAGAGATAACAGTAAATAGAGAATGGTGGGGAAAAATTAAAAAAGAACATTATTCACCCTCTCAGTGAGAGAAGTTCAACTCTTAATTGTCACCACTTGATTCCAGACTGTGCCTGAACATTTTCATAATTTTGACTAACTGCTGCCATCCCTGTTGATTAAGCAGGGTTTTTATTATTAAATGTAAGCTACTTTCATTATAAGACTATGAGACAAAACTATATTAGTTCAAAAAACTAACTAATGATTGCTTCTGAACTATATTTAAGTGTTCAGAGCAGTTTTTAAATTGGTACAAAAAAATCCTTTCCCTATTATTTTTCTCTTAACGGCCATATCTTAAATTTAATCAGGGAAATTTAAAACACTCAAAGGAAGCTACTGAAAATAGATTTAAGGATTGCAGTTACTAACTTTCAAGAGAAGAGAGATAAATTTAACCATACTGAAACACAGACTATATATATATATATATATAAAAAGAAAACTAAACTTATTTCTTTAACCTTGATAGACAGTCAATTTTATAATGATTTAGCCGAACAGTGCTCTAACTGCACAGAGCTAGGTAGAGAGACCACCATATTAAGAAGAGGTAGCATGATTTCTTCCCCTCCATGTATCTTGTCATCCACTCCCATTTTAAGTGTCTGACAGGGATACTTGGTGTAGATACATGTATTATGAATATTGAAGAACTTTTTGCCAATGAAAATACCGGAAACAATTCACAATCTATAACAGTATCTTTGAAATTCCAAATTATAATGATTTGACACTCCAACTCAGGAAAAAAAAAACTCACAGCTAGTCTTCCTACAACTGAACTTAACACACAAGCAAAGGAGTTGTAGGATTGTCATGTATGACTGTGAATGATTCGTAGCCACAGAGATATCTCAATGGCTTGTAACCACAGCACTGGAGGTTTCCAGAAAAAGGGGTAAGTTAACCTCTCAGCAGTTTGTGAACTAGTATTACAAGACACAAGAGGTTCATTCAAGAAGTCTATTGCAGAGATGAAAATTAAACCTCATTATCACAATGTGCAGTCCGATGCACTGCATTTTTTCCATAAAGCTACTGGTAGCAGAACCATGCACCCAAGCACTATTTTAAAGCTTAAGTCTCTAGACACATTCAAGCCTAAGTCTCTAGACACAAACCTATGGATCATTGTCTTTTACAGAAATGTTTAACTTGGGTCTCAAAAAATTACATTCATTTAGAGGCATCACAGTCCATATATCTACAAAAGATGTAAATAAGTGTCTGAACAAATGTATTACTTCATGAATAATGTTTAAAGTGCTCCACATCCTCAGAAATATGAGCCTACCTTAAAGCCTGTCTCACAGCTTTAAAGCCATGAATTCGGCTCCCCAGGAAACTACTGAAACTAGGTATTTTATTTACCAAGCTTCTCTTGCACAAGGAGCTAGAATCCCCCTGAAAAAAGGTATAATTTGTACAGCTTTTTATGAAAAAAAAAAAACCAAACCAAAAAAACCCAAACACAACAACCTAATGTTCTGATAACTTACTTTCATGAATCTGTGAACTGCTCTGATTATCTGGTGACAACACAAGGATTCACTTTCAAGAAGGAGTAAAACACATAAAATACAAATGCAATCTCCAAAATGATTAGTGCAAGTTAAACAGCTGTTGCTGTATATGAAAGCCAGCACCTTCTGAACTTAAAGCTGTGATCCAGCAATAGGAAATAAAGGGTAGCTCGGTCTTGCCAATACTTCGATAAGACTAGCAGAACAGAATAGTTTGCTGCCCCTTTTCACTAAGTCAAGGAAAAAGGTCTGTTCTCCATTTTGGCCACTACTATTACACATAAAACCCATTACAAAAAACGTTCATTATAGAAACTTTAAGTCTTGGAGAGTGTGTACTCATAACTCCATTCCTCACGTCACAGATCACATATGTAGTCTTGAAATGCAAATCATTTCTCAATACTTTCCTCTCTGTGTTTCAAGATAACTCAGAGCCATTTTTGCACTTCAAATATTTTGGAAATTATTTTGACGTGTAGCAAAAGAGAATAAATTGTGAGTCATTTCATATAAATAGTCAAGTCTAAGTAGAAGGCTTATTAGGAACTGTGTTTTGAGAGCCACATGGATCATTACAAAAAGCAATATACTATCCTATTATTCACTATGATTTTCTACAATATTTCCTGTGCCTTTCATTCTAGTCTTTACACACAGGGACACTGCAAAACAAGAAATGAGAATTTTTTTTTTTTTTATAACATATATATATGTATGTTCTGTTCATTCTCAGACTAGCAATGAAAACAGATATTAAAACAAAACTGAAACTTTTATAATAATCTATGGAAGGAGTGGCCACAGAGTTCAGAATCTCTCCTTTAAGGCATAATCTTGGAGGAAGAAACTGAAAGCAGATAGTGTTTCACAAGAAATGGTATTTCCTATGTCACGTGAACATTTGGTACCTTGGAATAATCTGCAGGATTGAATGTACAAGTGGATAACTGAATTTTCCATATTTGCTCCCTCCACACAGTCTACTGCTTTAAAAATAAAACACAATTTCTATTTTAGTAGATTTTAATACATACTGAGATTATTGTTCAACAAGACAAAAATCAACTTATTTCAAGCGAAATGCTCAATTTCAACACCTACTCACTTTTATCTGCTTATCTTTTTTAATAACCATATCATCTATTTTCAATACTGTTTACCTTTTCACTCTTCTGCTCCAAAACATCAAGTTATCTATCTCTTTGCGGTATCAAGAAAGGTGGGAACTTTAAGCAAAGACAAGCCTGTTCAGTTTTACCTTTCAGGCTGGAACTTGTTTTAAAAATTGGTATGAATTACCAAAACCAACTGCTCAAATGGAAAAATAAGGGCTATCATAAACACGTATGAACTAGCCCTCCACGATAGAAATACCTAAGAAGCAATTGAGACAAAATATGAAGTGCAGCCTTGGAGAAATCTGCATTTCATATATTCTTATCAGCAGTTAAAGATGAATTACCACAATCCTGCGGCTCCAGAGGTGCAGGATCCAACACTGCTTTAAACTATGCAGCTGAGGCACTGGGTTAAAAAAAGGCAGTGGAAGTGACAATTAGACAAACAAAATACTTAAGTGAAAAATACGGATAAGGTCATTATCCTCACCCAGTCCACCCAACAGGAAGCAAAACATACTGGTTTAACTGCCACTCTGAAGACAACATAAGGGAAGACAAGGGGACAAACCAGACTCTGATAACACTGTTTAAATTATACTACTCATATTAGTGCTGCTGCCTTTTTGTACTTATGAATAACAAAATCAGTTTGAGAACATAGAAGCACAGCCAGCTTGCTTTGGCTCATCCTTATTTGATGCTGAAGGCAATGATGATGAGAACTACACAATGCAGCAACAATTCCAATGCAGAGCAGCAAATGTATACATGACAATTAGCAGTTCAAGTTAAATTCTTACCCTCTTCCGGTTTTAGCATTACATGGTCATGCTACACCCCACAATCTCAGCCAGAACTAACCCACACATGAATACACACACAACCACCTCCATTTATTAACCTCAGATCTACAGCTTTTAGGCTTTTAGGAATAATACTTCCAGTATCACTAAAACCCTCCTTGTGCTACAGATTTTTTTCTTCCTTCAGCATGATTGAGATGCCACATTTCCTCAGATTACCTCCTAATATTTCAGCAAGTGGTTAAGATTTTGTGCGACTATCAAAAGACAACTACAGTACTTAGTGACACAACTGTCTGTAGTATACAAAGTATTTGTCCATACATTAAAACCGCTTGAAATTAAAACTATTTGAGATTCAGTCCTGTGTTCCTGCTGCTGTTCCTTCTTCTTCTTAGGAACCAAAATGAGGAAGAACACCTTCAAATTTCAAAATTATAAACTTTCTAAAATACAACAGGGTTTTGTTGCCTCAGTTTCCCATGCCCTTAACATCAGAAATCTGAACTTTAGAATAAATTCATTTAAAAAATCATCTTAATTTATACTGCTTCGATTATTTTATTTTCTTCATTCCACACAAACTTGTGATGTATACTCCACAAACTTCCATTCTACACATGCAAGCTACCAATCCTAGTATATTAAAGCTCACTGGCAATCCATTAGCTTGTCCGTAACAAATGCTTTGCCTCAATTTTTAGGTTAGTATTTATTATTTGCTATCTTAAAATGACATATAAGAGGATAAGGGATAAGATCTTTCCAAATAAACAGCAATAGAAATGCTGCTCCACAGCTGCATTCTAATTGACCTGTTGGCATTGGAAAAAACTCCCAATTTAAATGAGGAAAAGAAAAAGAAGATACATTTTACAATTAATCCATTGGCTATCTTCTACAGGAGAACACTGATTAAAGCAATGTTGTCTAGATCTGAAGAGAAAAATTCACCTTTGGGACCACATCTGCATGTAGCTTGAAGAATGAGTGGCTAATTTCAGACTGCAAAAGAGCCATTTTCTTTCTACCCTAAACAGCTGCTAAGGCCCTGCACATATGCAGTCAATTTATCCTGGATTACTCTGCACAGCAGAAGAGTAAATCATACAGAGGACAGGACACACGCCACATATTTTGAAATGCACAAAAGAACATGATACAGAGACGCTCCACTGCTGGTTTA